AGGAGTCTAGCTGGCCTAGACGAATGTAACAGAGCAAAGGTGCAAAAAGGTGCTTAACCCCTGTTTTTGGTTCCACACCGGTTGGTCACAGTGGCGGGAGGAGTCTAGCTAGCCTAGACGATTGTAACAAATCAAATCAAAAATGTGTCAGAAAGCCCGAATTTTACGTAATATCACGTCAAATAATGCGTTTGTTGCAATGGCGCCACCTGCGGCTCACCTGTGCCTTGGAGAGGACCCAGGGCCCACCGGGCGGCTGATTTGTAGTGAGCCCTTGTTGTTTTGAACCGGTCGGTCAGTGGCGGGAGGAGTCTAGCTGGCCTAGACAAACGTAACAAAGCAATGAAAAGAGCCTTGTTGTTTCATACGGGTTGGTCACATTGGCGGGAGGAGTCTAGCTGCCTAGACGATTGTAGCAAAGCACAGCAAGCAAGAACAAGACATAAAGTGGTGAATGCTTGCCTGCTTGTGTGCACCGTCCACTTTTGGAGCGGAGGCATCGGGCCCTGGGGCCGTCGCAGCGGCCGTCTCCCGATGAGTCTTGTAGCTACTAACCCGGTGACACATAATCACTATCATAATCATCATCAGTGGTGGCTTGTATGGACTTGCGCACTTTACCATCGGGTCATCAGGCTGCACCCAGCAAGAAGGGAGTAGATATTCCCTTTGCTTGCATACCGCTTGTTTGCGGTTCCTTGGTGGAGCCCACATTTTGAGTGTTTTGTCATACCGGTACTGCACCGCTTACGCGCCGAGGGGCTTGCACGGCGAAATGTGGGTGTGGACGTCCGTACCGCCCTGCTTGTGCAGAATGCTCGGGCTCTGCGCTTGCCTGCCCTTGCCACCTTTTGAGGGAGGGCGATCAGCCGTAGGGCCGTCGCGCCGGCTGTTGCCTGATGCATTTCGGGGCTGCGAACGTGGTAAGAACACAAACATCGTCAGGTGTGCCGTCGAAACTGCCGAACGCATGCGCCAGGCAGAGGCCCTAGGGCCCAGACCTGGGCCCTTGGGCTAGGCGTGCTTCTTGGGTGCGCGATGGGCAAATGTCTTGCCTTTGTTGCTTTGTCTTCATGATTTAGAGTGTGATTGGATATGATATCCGGATCTGACGCCGCCACGTCACTGGACAGCTGCTACAGTTGCCGACTTTGCTTTAGCTTTGCTGGCCCCTGCACTGCCCTCTCCTTCCGTTGCGGCGAGCACAGAGGGGGCGCCCCTGGATCCGCTGACTGCAGCACTGCAACCCGGCTGAACTGGCGCCAGGATATTTACAGCCATGCCGCTGCCCCTTTGGGTCGCTAGACGGAGGCCGGGGCCGGCCTCGGGTGCGGGTGCGGCTGGCACTGCCGAAGGCTGGCAGATTTTCAGGTGACCACGCATCTCACACACCTCACGCATGTTTACAATGACCAGATGAGCCACGCACAAGGAGTGGTGTCAAACACGCTGCTGCAAAGGCTCATCACTCCAGCACGGTAACAATTGGCAGCCACCAGATACAATGGTGGCCCACCTATAACCCCAACAATCGGCCTTGGTAGCGGCAACAATTGAAGGCGCTCCCCAGGCACGCCGAGAGGCTGCAGGGTAACCGAGCAGCAGGTACGCGGGCAGCAGCCGCCCGTCCGCGCGCCCCCGCCGCCGCCCTTGAGGTTCTCGCCGGCGCCCCGCCCGCCCGCCCGCCTGCCCGCTCTGGCTCCAAAATATGACGAGGCATCAAAACAGATGCTGAGCATAGCCCAGAGGGGCTCGGACCACTGCATGGAGCCCTGGCCCATCACCCCCCCGCCGCCCATTCTACTTCCCGACGATCACGTTGAGGATCTTGCCGGCCACGTAGATCACCTTCTTGATCTCCTTGCCGTCGGTGAACTTGCGGACCGTGTTGAGCTCCAGCCCCGCCGCCAGCGCGTCGGCCTCGGGCGCGTCCACCCCGACCTCTACAGTGCCCCGCATCTTGCCGTTGACCTGGCGGCGGTTGCGGACGGTTGCGGGCGGTTGGGAGGTGGTTGGGAGGTGGTTGGGGGTGACGGCAGGCGGGGTGCCCCTGATCTGCGGGAGCGCGGCGGGGGCGCGGCCGACCAGGGCGCGGCGTCTCCGGGCGTGAGGGCACTGGAGGTGGCGGCCAGGATGGTCGCCGCCAGCGATGGTGCTGAGAGCGCATTGCTTCGCGCCCACGGCGGAGCCCCGACGAATTTGTGCCGACCAATGTACCAAACAGAACGCCCTTGCAGGCGACCGTTTCAATGTCGAAAGGGCCCCCCAGGCGCCCCAAACAGGGCGCGCGCGGCAGGGGGCCGCGCGGGCCGCGCGGCCCAGGCGCGCGCTCGCCGCCGCCGCCGCCGCGGGCGGCTGCGCCGCACCTGGACGGGCAGCTTCACTGTGTCCACCACCAGCAGCGCCTCGTCGTGCTGCGGCCACGGCTCGTACGCCAAACTGCCCCGCCGCTGCTGCTGCTGCTGCTCCTGCTCCTGCTGCTGCTGCCTGCCGCCGAGCCGCTGCCAGAGCTCCTCCGCTATGTGGGGCGCGTAGGGCGAGAGCAGCAGCACGAAGGGCTCCAGGGCCGCGCGGGGGCGGGTGTCCCACTTGTAGACGCCGTTGACAAACTCCATCATGGCGGCAATGGCTGTGTTGAAGCGCATCTCCTCGGTCTCGGTGGTGACCTTTGGGTGGGAGGGGGGTCGGCGGGGCGGTGCACAGAATGGGTGGCAGGCAGATTGGCGGGGCGCTTGCTTGGACAGTAGGCGGGGCGCACATACACAGACTCGTACACCCTCATGCGCACGCGCACACACACACAACACACACACACACACACACACACACATATACACACAACACACACACACAAAAACACGCACACAAACACACACGCTCGCCCGCGCAATCACACCTTCTTGATGGTAGCGTGCAGCAGGCGCAGCTGGTCGCGCGTCGGCTCG